ATGCTGGCTTGGTTCTTAAAGAAACATAATACAAGAAGCACAACCTTGCTTGTCTGCTGAGTAACATGAACCACTTAAGGGAAGTGTGAGTCATCTTGCCCAGGGATGGGAATCCTACAGATTCACTCTCCAGACTCAAGTCCATTTTGCAGGGCCCAGAGTGCAAGTTCCTATAAGAGCACCAAGTTCACAGAGAACTCACAAGGAATTGAGTCCCACGTGTTGTACAAGCAGTGCCCCTCTTTCACTACCAGTTGGTAGCTGGTTGCAGGGCACTTGGTTGCAAGGGATTGTCAGGAAAGCAGCCTTGCCAACTTCTGAGCAGAAGCTGACACATAAGGAGCTTGCCAGTTGCTCAACAGGGGTTGCATAAGCGTACATGGACTTCCTCTTGGGTTTGGAAGACCAGGGTAACCACAAGAGAAAGCCTGTGAATGTTTGAAGGGACAGATTCCAACAGGATTTGTCCCACCTAATACATCAGGGAACTCATGCATTGGGAACCCTTTACCCAGTGGGGCCCTGGGGCAATTTGTTCCCTTCAACCCCTTTCCTTCTGAATCCCTGATCAGTCTTAGGAGAAGTTGTGTGCTTTTTAAAGCACCGAAATAATACTCCATGCAGGGCAGTCAAAAAGATCCAGTAGGCAAAAAGCCCCAATTTGATTTGAACAAGAAACAATTACCACAATCCAGTGCATCCTAATCTGGGAGTAAACCAATTAAACATACTGGTACTTCCCTCCTGAACATATCTTCTTTCCAAGGGTTGATTTTGCCACATTTTTGCTCTTACTTGGTTAGTCAAAAAGGTTAAAAACATTATGTTGAACTTATAGCAAAACAGGAATAGCATAAAAGAGATGCTGATACAGTAGAAAGTTGGCTGTGGTGACATAGAGGGGATCCAAGGAGTATGGTGGCTTGCTAGCAGGGGTACCATGACACTTAGCCAAACAGCATAAAAAGAAACACTGCAGGTAGGAAAGATGAAGCATTCTGCACAGAAACAGAGGAGAAACAAGCCCATTCTGCAGGGAGGGACTGCTTCCAGCCTTTTACTTCCTCAGGCTTTGACTGACCTGAGTGGGTTTAGGCTCACATGAATTTGCAGGCCCTGACAATGCTGAGGGCCCAGCTTTAGAATACATGGAGAAGAAAGGGTCACAGGTAGGAAGGGCAAATAAAGGTAACAGGTATTAGTTTAGTAAGGATAGAACAAGCTCTACATGCTGAGTTTTCCTCAAATAGATATGAGCCTTCAGTGTGGAGAATGCAATCTGGCAGACACTGAGTGAAGTTTCTCTGGAAATTGGCTTAAAGCATGGGTCCTCAAACTACAGCCCGCGGACTGGATCGGGCCTGCCATGCTCATTTATCCAGCCCTCCTCAGAGGTTTTGGACTCACTTGGAGGAAGCAATCTCTGAGTGAGTCCAAAAGCTCTGAGCTGGTGCAGGTGTTCTTTGAAACTGAGCAGAGAGCCAGCACATGCACCAAATTGCAACAGCTCAACTGCACGCATGCCGGCTCTCCCCCACCCCCCCAACAGTTTTTTTTTCTAACTATAGTCCAGCCCCCCAACAGTCCGGAGGAGAGTGAACTGACCCCCTGTTGAAAAAGTTTGAAGACCCCTGCCTTAATGTTTCTCTGCATTCATCCATAGCAAGCTGTTGTTGGGAGACATTCAGCCAGGCCAGAATGCTCTTATTTTTTCTGCTGAGCTGGCTATTCTTGTTAAACATTTTCTCCCCACCTACCCTGGTCTTACTGTAACATGCAGACCAAGCATCTGCTTTTCATTAAATAATGATTAAAAGGTTGGAAGGAAAGTACATGGACCGCCATGGGGTTGTGTTGTTTGGCAACAAATCACAACAAAAACTCTTAAAAATGCTTCCCCCCATGTAATTCTAAATATATTAGAAAGGTCATTTCTGTGGATTCTATCCCCACAAAGGCTTTTCACATCCCTGCCCTTACTCTTTTCTACTGGATCCTGCTCCTCTGCCCTAAACAGAAACTTTATCCACAGACTTAAAAGGTGATGAAGATTATCCCCATTCTGTGGGAAGCTTTGCTCACCCATTCCTAGGTGTCCAAATGCAGTTAAAAGCACAACCCCCCTCCTTCCCAAATCTTTGAAGGCACTCCTGCCCCTAGAACCAGAACACAACTAAAATGCAACCGGAAAACCAGCCTCAACTATAAACATCCCTTTTATTAATGCTAAGCTTCAACATGCAACTGTTTTTTGGCTATTTTGAAACACACACCATCTGGAAAGATGGAAAAGAGCTTCACGGACTGAAAAAGCCCAGTCTGGTGGTGACTCATACATTAGTTCAAGGCCTCAACATACCTTCCTGTAAATATGAGTCTAGAAGCTGTGTCATTTGTTCCCATTTTTACTTTGGAGTAGGCACAGGGCATCTGCTCTGGATCAGGTCCCCTGCACCTACTCCAGAAGAAAAGGACACAGGCCAATACCCAGCACTACTGCTCTGCTCATACCATCAGCTATGACATCCCATTGGCACAGAACTAGCATCAGGATCAAAACTCAAAGTGCCACCATTTCCTTGGCAAGCCTTAGTCAGCTCCATTCCTATGAAGAAAACAGGCCTTCCTGTCCAATGTATTTTCCAGTAAGGTAAGCTGACATGCTCTACCTATCCCAGATTATGAGCAGCCAGGGCAGCCTATTTACCAGAAAAGAAACATCTACTAAGCCTCATTGACAGCTTGCGAAAAAATAAGTTTCAACACAGTTGTTACAATGCCTGTGCCTGGTGCTTTGCTGTTATCCAGCTGATTTTCTGTATGTTCCGGAGTCTATAGAAATATCAGAATCTGTATGAACAGAAATCATCATTCCTTATTGTACAAATTCCCAGGGTTTTCCTTACCTAACCCATCTTTATTAATCTCTTTGCCATTTTTACGTGATGAGACTTTTGGCTTCCCAACCCCTTTTCCATGCTGTGTTTATGACCACTGTGGTTGCCCCACAGACTACCTTACATGCATGTAATTTCCCTGATGTTTGAATAAACTGTAATTGTTCGTTGATAGTACACCCCCAGTGTGCCTCTTCTCTCTGGTTTATGGTGTCAGGAACTTCTGGTGAAAGGCTAATGGTATATACCTGTATACTTGCTGCACCAACATATGCTGTTGCCATTGGCCTAGAGGCCCATCACTCTAGCATGATGGCAACTGTGTCAGTGATGTAGCAGTACTGGATCCTGCCCCTAGCTGGAAGACACACATGAGGCCGGATAGGAAGCTGTAGCCCTAGATAGGATGCAAAAACAATGTCATGCTGCACATGTTTCCTCAGGTCCTACTATGACCAGTGGGACTTGCTCTCTAGACCATTTCAGAGATGTTTATTGTATTTAGTAATATGTAAGTAATAATGAGCACAATAAATAATAGAGGTGATCAATGATACTTCATACGGAGTATCTCCATGTCCCAGACATTACCTGGTGCCTATCAAGGTGCCATACATCTCCCACCGTTTTCTTTAGTTTGCTCATTTTCTTACCAGCAGCTGAGAGTGCTGCAAAACAGGTTTCTGTTAATGCTGAAAACTGTGGATCCAAACAAGTTGTTTAGTGCTAGAGCAAGCCCCCTTCTCTGCTTCCCACTCAGTCTTTTGAGTAAGTTGTTGGTCGTTTACCACATCTCCCATATCAGCCCTTTTGTGAGGTTTCCCTGAGCTGTTTCTCAAATTGAGAAATGTGTTCATGGCCCAAAAAGCTTGCCTACACTGCTCATGTGTACACTCCTGTACCACTTACCTGGGAGTAAATCCAATTGAACATAATGGGGCTTCTTTGTATGGTGAGATGCATAGGATTGTATTAACTGCTTGATCTAAAAGGGCTACATGCAAAAGATAGGGTACCTGTACCTTTAATGGGTATGTGGAAGAGCAAATTTCAGCAGGTGAAGCTTCTTATGTTATTGTTTGGCATGCAAGATACACCTGGAGGAATTATTTTCTTTACACAACCACAGAAGATGCAGGAATCTGTCTTCTTTTGCATCTGGTCATATTATCTCGAACTCTTAGACTAGGGGTACAAACAACTCTGCTTGGGGCCAAGTCCAGGTATCCCAATCTGGCTTTCTAGGGTCTCTCCTGCTCCCATGACAGCTCTCTAGAGCTTCCTTGCTCTCTTCTGCTTTCCCTCAACTGCTGACAGTTTTGTGGTTTCTTCACTTTTGTGCCTTTCCCCCCATTAAAATGTATCCCCTAAGGCTTGGTTGCTGGTTATAAGAAGTTATTTTTACTGTGCTTTGGCTCAGTCCTCCACTGGAAGGCACCCAGAAGCTTCTCAGAAATGGAATATGACCTGACTGAAAGATGTTCTCCACTCATCCTCTAGTCTTGGTTAGAAGTAACTCTCACTGATTACTCGAAGGCTTGCTTCTGTCTATAGGAGCATCCTTAAAGATGAAACCCTAGGCACACTTAGAAAAAAGGTCAGTAACTCCCAATGTAGCTGGCTGGAGTATGCTGGGAGCTGTAGGACTTTCTCTGTCTAAACCCACACAGATTTGTGCCTTGCCAAAGAGAGCTGGTTCAAAACACCATGTGGAGACGGTAGGATCATGGGCTTTTCCATGTATGTGTATTTTAATGTATGTATTTTAATGGTCATTTTGTAGGAATATTACACGAATTTGGGGGCCGAAGTAAAGCTAACATATTGTTAAGAAACGTTAAAAATAAATAACTGGACGCCTCGGAAAAGAAATCGACCTCAGAGTAAAACGCGCGACCACACCGCAGACACCGCAGGCGGAAATTTCTAGCCTTACCAATTCGACTTCTTCAAACGGAGCCCGTTTACACGTGCAGCGAAGATTTACCCCAGATCACAACACCGGCCAGTTTCGATTTTTCCACGTTGCCATCGCCCATTCCGGGAAAATGAAGCGCGGTCCCACCTCCCAGTACAAAAGCGGCCCAGCCCCTGCTGGTCCCTTTTCGCGTCTTCCCCGCCCCGCGCGCAGCGTGCCTTAGCGAGCCCCGGCGGCCGAGCAGTTCAGGCGAGATGATGGCAAGCGGCGCTCAGCTGCCCATTCCCCTGCAGAGCAACGATGGCTTGCCCCGCTACGAGTACCTGAAGGACGAGCAAGACCTCGGGGGCGGCCACTCCACCGTGATCCACATGCAGCGCCAGCAGCTCTACGGGACGCCGCCCCGCGACCACTTTCTCTGGTCTTTCTTCACCACGCTGTACTTCAACTTTTGCTGCCTAGGGTTCATGGCGCTGGCCTTTTCCGTGAAGGTGAGCAGATGCGTCCGCGGGATGCGCGGGCTCCTTCGGGGCTGGGATTTCTTCTCGCCATGTCCTTTTGCTGCTTGCCCCTTGATGGGGTTCGGAGTGTGTGTGTGTGTGTGTGTGTGTGTGTGTGTGTGTGTGTGTGTAAGAGAGAGGGAGGGAGACACTGACTGACTTGGGGCTCCAAATGCTCTTCTGGCTAATTTCAGAGCCCGATCCTATCCATGTTCACTCAGAAGTCAGCCACATGGACTTCACAACAAGTGTCCCTCGATTTGCGCCTCACGCGTTGGGGTGGTGAAGTAATGAGAGCTATGTTGTAAGCCGTCCAGAGACGGAAGTAATGGAGGGCATACGAATTAGATAAATAAATAAATTCCGTGGCATCGGAGGTGGATTATTTGTCCACACGTTCCGGAGTGAGACTCTGGTTCAGATTACACCGGGAAGAGCTCTGAAGTGGTGTCTCTGTGTGGGAAGGGATCGCTAAAAAGCGCTGTGGACGTATTTGCCCTTTAATCTTGCCCATGTTAAGTCCCCAAAGACAACTTAACCCGAGAACAAGGACTCAGCTAGACTGCGCGAAGGCAGCCGCGTGTACTTAGTTCTCTGTGCCTGCCCCTTTCGTGTATAAGGTGGGCTGTCGTTTCTTGCAAGGGAAAGGAGCGCGACCGGGGCGGGGGGCACAAAGCCTTCCCGCCGTCCTAACTTGCTGTTTCCAATGGCTTCCAAGCCCTTTTGTCTCTGGTTGGCTCTCTTCCAACGCACGCTGGCCTGGGAGGCAACTTTCGAGCACTGGAGCGGCGTGCGGGACGGGTTTTTCTTGTGCGTACGTGGGGCGGGATGCCTCTGGTTGCCCTGTTCTGTCTCGCCTGGCCCATTGCAATGCAGGAGGAGTGGGCCACCCTGCGAACTGGGCAGGCAACTGCAGGCGGCGGCTTATGGGATGGCGCTCCGCCATCTATCCCGTAATTGGGCAGCGGTAGATCAAACTAGTCAGAACAAGTTCTGTGGTTCAGTAGTACAAATATTTGCACACTGCACCAAAGGTGAGCAGTCCGGTACCATTTTCTTATTCAAAGAGCAGCTGGCTTTGTTTTGTTTTTTTCCATTCCATGGGGACAGATTTAGGCTTGCCCAAATGGAATACTTGATAGCTGGGCAGCTGAATATTTTAAAAATAATTATGTGTTGATGTGAAAACTGTATCCACGGGATCTGCCACAAATCATTTGCACATGCACACAGAAGTCAACACTTGAGGTGCTGTTCCCAAGTGGCAGACACAGAAGTGTAAAGCAACCCCTCTTATTTACCCAAGTATCCCAGTGCAATGGTATCTGAGTGGCAAGTCTGGTCTTCATTAGAGACAACCACAGCATCCTCATGCAGTCTTTGCATGCAGAGAGTTTTAGAAAGTCAGCAGACTCAGCTGTGCCATGTCTCAGAGCAAGGGGTTGCAAACACTGGATTAAACTACACTTGCAATTTTAAAATTAGGGTCAAGAAGATTCTAATTCTGAGGATTACATAATCACCCCTTCAAAGTGAGGAAGTTCTTTTTTGTTTAAACAAATATGTTATTTAATATCAGTTATTAAAACTATTGTTTAATTTGTATTATATTAAAAGATGATAAAGAAATGTTAGGTCAGTAGGTCCAAAATGACATTTCACCAACTACGCTGCCATTTTTGCAAGTATCTGAAAAAAATCTCTACCTTTCCTCTTTCTTTGTTCCAATGTGCAGTCTTTCTGGATCTTTACTTGTCCTTTGCATGAGGTTAGTCAGCATATGATGCAGGCTTAGGATTCCTACATGCTATTTGCTCCCTGATTGGATGGGGGCTGGAAGTGCGGGGATGTTTTCTTCTCATTTGGTCTTAAAGTTCCAATCCAGGATTTGGGATGGACATGGCCGCAAATGCATCAGCAGTATAGCTTCCTGTTGGCTTTTAGTAATTGAATTTCCTTTCTTTTCTCCTGACAGGCAAGAGATCGTATAGTTCTTGGGGATTACCATGGAGCTGGCAGTTATAGCTCTACTGCCAAATGTCTGAACATCTTGGCAATTACCTTGAGCTTCCTGCTGATCATCATCTTCATCGTACTGGCAGTGACGGGGATTCTTACTGCCTCATATGGACACTAGCCTCCATTAAACCTGGCTTCAAAGTGACTTCCTTCCAACAACTTTTAATCTCCTTTTTGTTTGCTGTGCTTCACAGGCTTCCATTCTATAAGTTTAGTTACTGCTAACATTGGTCTTCACCTTGTCAAAGAACAGCCCTGGTCCTGCAAGTCTACTATGGCATTTGCTGTGATGTCACATTTGTGTTTCACAAGATGTCTATTGCAAGAGTTGTCAGGCTTTTAAGTGTTATTTCTGGTTTAAGTGTTAGTTCTGTACTCTTTAAAGAATTATTTTTACTGATTGTATGCTGCCAACACTCACTGCTACTGAATGCAACCAATTCAAACAGCCATGCTGTGGGTTAGGGAAGATGTTGGGCTTGGTCTTCATGAAAGCCCAGTGATGAGAGGCTTCTGTTTCTGATTCAAATGTCAAGATTTTTCACTTGTTAACCATTTTTACCTATCTCTTTTGTACCACAATATGCCTTGGTACCAAGTGTGAAACCTGATCTGGTCAGTTTTACAGTACATTTGTAAAGGGAAGAACCTTGCAAAGTGTGTATTCCTGTTTTGTTCTTGAGCATGTTTTGTTAACAAGAAAGCTACAATCTCTCCCCACTCCTCATGAGCATTCCCTGTATAGGACATCTCCCTGAGGAGTGTTTGTAAATGCTGCAAAGTCAGTCACTTTGTGGAAGTCTGGGACAGCCAGCATCAGGCCACTCCTGCCCCCCTTGCCTGGGGAGACATCACCTCTCCCTCACACCAGCTCTCCCCATGTTTTCTGGGCCTCTTTCAGCTGAATGCTGGATTCATGTGGAAGAAGGCTCTCGCTGGCTCCTAGCTTTGCTGGATATGTGCCTGCATATTCCAGCTGCTGAGGAACTGGGGCAGGAGATCTTGCACCCATCCTGCTTGCAGGGGCACATGGGTAATACACAGGGCATTACAAAGAGAGAAGGGTCCCTGGAAAAACACTGTCCTCAGCTCTTCCTTTCACACTCTCTTCCACTCGTGTCTGTTACACCTTTTGGAACAGGAAGCCCCACTGTCTCCTTCCTTCTCTTGCCACAGCTGCAGCACACACACTTTCCCCAAAGTAAGCCTAATAATGGTCCCAGGGAGCTGCACATCTGCACTGCCTTGGGGAACCTAATTCCAGCAAGACACACTTGCTCTTCCAGGCAGGATGGGGATGTTGCTGACATTGACTCCACAAACCCGTCTCCTCCCAAAGCACCGCAGACACCCAGGGACTTTCTGAGCATTCCTCCCTAGAGGAAACCCCCATTGCCACAAGAGGGGACGTGCCTACTTCTGGTCTGAAGAAGTGGGCACATTCATTAACCTAGGCTAGGGGGCAGCCCAGAGGCACAGCAGCACCTCAGGACTATGCCATTCTAATTTCTTCCCCGCTTTTCAGAGTAGCTGAAAAGAAGGGGCTTATCATGCACAGCAGCCCCATGCAAGGTGAGTGGCACACCCTCTAGAAGTTCAAGGAGGTTGTCACACACAAACTCTGGGGAGGCTGCCAGAACCATGCCCTTCTAGGACAAACTGGCATGCCTGCTGTCTCAAGGGATGCCTGTACAACATCCAACCAATGCATCATGTGCTTGGAATACAAGCTTGTTAGCAGGCCTGGTAAGCATGGGACAGAGCAAGCACCCGCTCATTGTTTTTAATTATTCTATTTGTCCATCTTCCCTGTCAAGAGAAGACTGAAGCCAGCCCAGACAAGATGGAAGAGATGGACAGCCTAAACCTTCCTCAAACCCAGTCTTAGCTTCCCAGCATCCTTCCAGCCCTGCTTCAGGGCCCAGCTCCCCCACACACATTCTGCCAGCACTAGCAGCCTGACCTCCATGCCTTCTGCATATTCTGAAGTAAGAAGGGATATGGCCGAGGAAGACAGAAGGAAGCAGCCAGTGCTGGAAGGGGGGCGCTCCCTCTGGGGAAATGCAGTCTGGACTGGAATGGGAGCAGGGAGGCATGCACTTCACACCTCCAGTGTCCCCTGTGTTCCAGCCACTGCCACCCAGGCCGCTGTCTCAGGGACAAGCAGCAGTGAGTTCAGTGCCAGACAGTGAGCCACAGCCTCACCAGCACAGGACAGTTTAACTGGGAAACTGAAAGAGCCTTCATCCCACATATCTCACCTCCTTACATGGAGGGCTCCTCACCATAACTGAGACTGGCTGTAGAGAGGATGCTTGGTGGGCAGGACATGTGTCCCCTTCACATCTTCCCAGAGGAGGAAGCCAGTTCAGAAGCCAACAAGCAGGAGGAGGCAATGTAACCAGTGGACACACAGTTGGATATAGAAGAGCCAGGCCCACAGGCAAGGCAGCCAGGTGGCCAGAGAAGCCAAACACTTCTACTCACACACATTCAGTGTACTGCACATTTGCACAACAAAAACCAGCAGGTAGAGTGCAGCTGGCTAGGGAACTCTTAACTGCTGCAGAACCGGCTGGGAACCGACACATGAAAGAACAGATGCAAATGAAGGCTGCTGTCCATCTAGTCACGGTTTGGGGGAGTAACAAGACCTCTAGCAGCATGCATGCCTCTATGGCGATCATCAGGCAGGGCAGCCTCCAGTGTTGTGTATGAGTTCATCAGAAGATTCTAGCTGGGCACTTGCAACCTGAGACAGGCAAGGAGGCTGTGGGACTGTTGGGGAAGTCAACTGCTGCACTTCAAGATCTGCTGCATACTGCTCCCTGCCTTTCCAACAAACCTTGCTCTTAGCTGATCCCATCACTGCGGACTGGACTGCCTTGGGCTGGCTATCCAACAGCCTCCTGGACATTTAAGCAGGCACACTGTTGGGCGGTGGGCCACCACTGGTGGGCTGCCCTGGTAGGGGTGTCCCTGAAAGGCACAACACAGAAGGGGGTTTACCCCTTTGGTCTGCCCTTTTGTGATGCCAAGAGGGTGAGGGTACTGCTCATGTGGTCTTACACCTGGGACTATGTTTGGGAAGGAAGCTATGGTGCTAAGTGAGGAGATGATGGGGGTCCCAATCAGCAGAGGGAGAAATGGCACCAAGAGAAGGAATGGCCAGTTAAGCCCAGCCCAGACAGCTAATGCTTGTGCAGTTCCAGACCACCTTCCACCCACAGGTTTGATGGTTGCTATGTTACTTGCCCTTGGGTCTCTGAATGCTGCTTTTAAATGCCAGATTGATGCAGAACAGGATCTCCCTTATCCATGATTTAATTGTGGATGAGGCAGCTGTTCTGACATGTACAATGGAGATCTGGGTGCGTGAGAAGGGAAGAATTAGCCTCTTCCAGTTGTGCCCAGTGGGGTAGTTGTTTCAGCATCAGGGCAGCCTTGAGGGACAGGGATGTGTCATACAGATTGCAGTCTGTATGAATTGTTTCTCTCTCCTGGTGCTCTGCCCATTGGACAACCAGTCTGAAGTTTGCACCTGATGCTTGGGCCAGCAGGACAGACTGGGGGATTTGGCTGGTGTACCATCCACCTTGCAACCCATTAGTTTTCCTACTCAGTGGACAGTTATGTTGGAGTTCTCCAAGCTATTTGTTCTGGAAGATTTCAAAATTCACACTGAAGGCACCTTATCTGGGGTGGCTCAGGATTTCATGGCTATAACAACCATAGAATTGTGCCAGCATGACACATGCAGTAGGGCAAAATCTAGACTTGGACTTTTTGGCCAGATATGATGATGCTCGGAGTATGGAGGACTTGGACTCTGCCCTTTCTCATATGCAGATCACCACCTGCTGAGATTTAGACTAATGACATCTTTTCCTCTCTACAAGGGTGGGGGACCCATTAAGATGCTCCACCCCCAGAATCGTATAGAATCAGAAAGTTTTCTGGGGGGTTTCCAGGCTAAAATGGTTGGTGGCCCTGTTGAATTTCTGGTTGCACTGTGGAACACAGAAACGACCAATGTGGTTGACATGATTGCTCCTGAGTGCCCTGCCTATTGTAGAGCTCGCATAGCTCTGTGATATACTTTGGAGATGAGAACAATGAAACAACTTAGGATATGGCCTGGGTGCAGATGGAGAAAGGCTCCTACTGAAAGCAATCAAACCCTGGTGTGCATTTATGATTGCCTGTATTTGGAGGTAGCCAGTGTGCCAAAGAAACAATATCTCGCTGCCTCTATCCAGTCTTTTCTTTTCCAGCCAGAAAAACTTTTCAGTGTTGTCTGAGGCTTATTATATGCCGGCCCCAAGAATTTCTTAGAACCATCTGAGGCCCACTGTAATTTAATCTGTTTACTTACAGGAAAAAATTCTTTTGGATCCACTGCAACTTAGACTACTGAGTTAATGCAGCTGAATTTGTCCAGAGCACAGTCTGGTCCAGTTTTATTGGATGGGTTTCAGTTGGAAGAGCTTGAGGATATTGACAAGGTACCTGCCCTATTTCATGCAGCCATCCTTGCCCCCTTATAAAGCCAGCAAGGAAGATACAACCAGCTGGGCTAGGGAGGTGATTAAAGCCTCCTTGTGAGAGGGTGTGGGACCATGCCACCTGAAAGAGGCAGCAGTAAAAGCACTTCTGAAAAAATCCTCCCTTGACCCAGAAGACTTTAATAACTTTAGGTGAGTAGCAAATATCTCATTCTTGTTCAAGATCTTTGAGAGAGTGGTTATCAATCAGCTCCAGGCACTCTTTGATGAGACTGATTATCTGAATCCAATTCAGTTGGAGTTCAGGTCAGGCTTTGGCATAGAAACAGCCTTGGTTGGCCTGCATGTGAAAATGTAAGTCATGTAATCCACAGGGTAGTAGTTTTATCTACTGAAGAGATGAAATGAATGAAGAAATGAGCAAGCCCAGTTCCATGGAGGGGTCAATTGGTCAACCATAAATCCTGAAAAATCAGCCTATACAATCTAGGGCACAGTGTGCTTCGCAGAGAGTGTAGAGATTGGGTTTGCTGGAAATAACTGCCTTTACAGGAAACAGAGCTAGCCAGCCCAAAAGCAACTGCTACAGAAACAAGATAAGAAACTTGGCAAGACCTTTGGCCAGTTTGACCTGCTTCTGTGCTACAGTGACCCAGATCTGGAGCACAGGAATCCTACATGCACCATTTCAAATCCAAAGGAAGATTTACTGAGCAAGTGCATCCTGCCCCAGAGTTAAGAATAAGTTCCTTTCCTGAGATCATCTTTAAATTGAATTTGTATTTTTATATCACATATATAAAAAGCATATTAAGAAACACTTCCATATACACTAAAACATCTTAAACACAATATAGCATTTTGATAATTATAATAATGCAGCAATAATAAAGTAACTACAGGTAGTGGAGAGAGAGAGAGAGAATCTGTATGTATGTGTGCAGGTATATAGTACAGCTAACATTAAGCCTAACATTAACTTGATGATGGTGAAGATGGGACTGGAATTGCAAAAGATGGACCTGGTGCCTGGGTTTGAGAGTCAGGGTTTGATTGTGCTACAGAAAGGGAGGATTACCACTAGAGTCACTTTCTTGAAGGGTTGTTTGTATAGCCAAGAGCAAGAAAAACTGCTATAGTTCCACCACGGCA